AAAGTGAGGAAGAAAGGCAGTGGAAGAGGACAAAGACAGGAAAAACTGATGGAAGACAGCAGACCTGCCAGGCTCATGGCAAGGGGAGGTAGATGCAGGGCAAGGGGGTGGTGAAATGTCAGGGGTGAGGGGGTGGGGAGATGCCAGGGATGGGGGGGGCAAGATGCCAGGGTTGAGGGAACCAAGGTAGCGAATGGATGAAGCAGCTCCACCCCAGAAGCAGCTGTCTGGGAGTGATGGAATTAAATAGAAAAGGAGAACAAAAGAAGACATAGGGAAGGCAGAGTATGTCCACAGGGAGGAAAGTGAAGAGAAAGCAGAGAGCCAGGGAGAGAAGGAGAGAGAAAGGAAGGGTGGGAGTGTACCTAAAAACCAAATTAGTGCCATTGGAGACATCCAGTTGGGTCCCTTGAGGTAAGAACTGGGTTTTTGCACCATCTGGTAGATAAAGTAGCCTGTGGATGAATCCGATTGATTGGGAGAAAGCACCAGTACACAGATAAAACTCCATCAGAATATAATTTATTAGCAAAGGAACACATGGAACAGATTCCCTTCCCGGCAAGGAAAATGTCTACCCGGGTTGTGAGCTGGGGTCTTTTAAATGCAGAGGCTTCTGCTTCCCACAGAAGGTGGGAAGACATATTTTTTTAAAAGTTGGGCAGGAGGAAGTGGGAGAGCAGGACTGTTAAAACCTGCCCTCTTTGGAGATCAAAGGGGAAGCCTGCTGTGTTGGCCAAACACTGGAGAAAAGTCTGCTTCTCTTGACTTCAAAGACCTGGGTGCTTATCAACTCGGTTCCCTTTTCTCAGGGCCTTGTGAGGTCCGTGAGGCCCCGTTGGTGAGGGGGCAGGGCTATCTGAACCTTAACATGATGGATTTATAAGTCACACACACATCCATTTCAGGAGCAGTTATCTCAAGAGGAGAAAAACCTTAAGTCTATAGTCATTCCCATGAGAGAAGAATTCCAGCTACTAGCAATCAGTCCCTTGGCACAGTTTACATATTAGGGTTTCTACTTCATATTTTGGAAGAATATCTGATTTTAGTTACAGGATTGGAACTATTCTTAAGGAATTTGCCAAGTAGATCCATCAGTTGAATACAAGCAGTAATTTGCTTCCTTAATCAGATTGTTCAAATAAATGATCAAAAGGATAAAGCTACCTGTACTCCTGAGAAATGGAAGGCCTTAGAATCATACATCAGGTGAGCCTTCTTCCTGGATTTTCCCTGAGTCTTGCTTTCTGATGGCTTGTTCACTCTGCACCCATCTTTTCCTCAAAATAGTCTATGTGAGCTTCACTTTCCTTATTACAAGAGAAATAATTTGAAGTAAGTTCTCTCCTAAATGATTTTCTGAACACTTGGATGTCAAGTTCAAAAGCTTGCTTGAGGTCATGTTGAGAAAAGACTTTCCTGCTTTTGAACTAAGATGTTTGGTCTTTATACAGGACATAAGCACAGTATACATTGTTTGAAAGAAGAATTTTGTGCTCCAAATCCATTCCAGCCCTTTCATTCACTAAAAGTATGATTCAAGCTGGTATTTAAGCTTTTAATATAATACATCATTTCTTAAGTAAAAGAATTAAAAGCATTTTCATATAAATGTGGGTTTTGGGAGGCAGGGTTGTTTTGTTTTTTGAGACAGGGTCTCCCTGTAGCCCCAGCTGTCTTGGAACTCACTATGTAGACCAGACTGGCCTTGAGCTCACAGAGATCCTCCTGCTTCAGCCTCCCAAGTGCTGAGACTAAAGGTGTGCACCACCATGCCTGGCTCACGTAAATGTTTAATAGTATTAAAATATTATGGTAAGAGTCACTGAATTTGTTTTGAAGAGAGAGGAACCAGTGCTAAAGCACACAACTGGGTAGTGAACCTGGCAGTGCTCTGTTTGACATGTAGCTGACACAGCCATCTTGTGACCTTACCAAGGTATCACCAGCAAACGATAAAAAAAGAAACTCTACAAACATTAACAATGAAGTTGAGAAAAATCAGGATGGCAAATACAATGAGAGATATTTATTTTAATAAATACTGTAAACTTCTGCATTTTAGCTGGCTTTAAAATGTTAAACTGTAAGGACTGATTATGCATTGAAGTCATAGAAATTTACACATATATTTATGTAAATATATATCTGTAATATGGCTGAATGGGTGTGTATATTATATTTACATATATTACATCATTTGTTCATGTGTTTTATATATATACCAAGTAGGATCATTCATAGTTTCTAGGCCATATTAGCTATAAAAATATATAGCCTTGCCAGCTTTAAAAACAAATATTTACCTTTTCACATATAACAAGAAACCTTAGTCACGTAGCTGATCACATTGCTTTTAACTGCCTAATAAAGCCATCAGAGACTCAGCTCTAACTCTACATCCATAATGCAGTATCTATGGCATTGTGGGCATTTCCTGTGCCTATCACTTCACAGTATGAGTACAGCTTCTGTATTTCAGATATCATGTCAAGCTAGAAGACTAAAGAACTTTCTCATTTTGTGTTATCTCAGTGGCCAGAACATAGCCACTAGACGTGGCAAGGGCTGCTAGGAAAGTGAGAACTAGACCGAACAAGTTTTATATCTGTGATGTCTGTCCTGTGACTGAGCATGTTTAGATCCAAAACTAAATCAGATTTCTTTTCATATGAAATAATAAGAGAAAGAAAATTGGGTAGGAAACAAAGTGTGCCATAATATAAATAGTTGGCAAATAAAATTGTTTTAACTCAAAACTGATCTGATACACTGTGAAGGATTACCAAGTATGTAGAAAACATGGAATGAGAAAAATATTTCAAAATAGAATCATCTGTAGGATTTCATTGTAATTTGAAACAAGTCATTTTAATTAGTGAATGGAATTTCACACTTCTTTTTGAAATCTTCCTCAAGTCCTTCCATGGAGGAAAGATACAGCCAGTCACTGAAAGGAGTTGATCATTTTGTGGTTGTCTTGTAATGGCCCCTTCTTAGGAGCACAAACTTCCTAGAGGGTAAATGGTGTATACGTGTAGAAGAAGAAATTATGTAAACTGATAATGTACTTCAGGGAAAAAATGATTCTGGGCTAGAAGTACTAATTTACCCATATTACATTATGGGACTGATTCTGGCTTATCCTGAGAGACAAACTGAAGCTGTTATTCTGTGGTTGGCATTTTCTTGGGCTGCCAGAAAGCATCTCATCACTTGTCATGTCCCACAAATAATGCAGAAAGACCAAGAGAAGGAATAGGGGTGCAGTGCAGAAAGAGCCATAGACCAAGAGCCTGTCAGAAAGAGTAGCTGAGAGCAACGACTACCATGATGCTTGCTCAGTAGCCACAACTGCTCTCAAAGGGAATGCGTCTTCTGCTGATGGAGTGCAGCAGACACTAGGCTTGAATTCTACCATTCCTAAACTACTCACCAGTTCAGTGTCTGCAGCGAGTGCAAGAAGCATGGACACACGGAGCATTTGAAGATGTGACTAGTAGACCATAGTTGTTATTTTCCGATGGTAATTTCAAATGATTTTTATTTGACTTGCTCTGTTTCTTTGGCTGGAAAAATGGTTTTAAATTTAGGAAATTATATGTGTAAGCAGAGCATTCTGAATGGCATAATTATGTGCATCCAATAAACATTGTTTGCTTTTGATTTTTGTTTGTTGTCCATTACCATATTGTATTGCTTAGAAAAGCAGATTAAGAGACCATTTCCTCAAATACATGTAAGAAATATTATTTGGGGAGTATGAATCTTGATAGCTGATTCAATTAAAATTTATATTTTGTGGCCTTTTATCATGACTGTACCTACAGATTTGGAGGCAATTGAAATCATTCATTTCAAAAACTTCAAATGTTGTGAAAATGCAAATAAGTACACTAAAAATGTTGTGTAAAAATGTATTCATGTTACATACCTGAATACTCGCATCATGCTATTTACATGACGGCGTTGGTGCAAGTAGATTTATCAATGCTGAGACTAAAAATATTTGAAGAGCATGTGCTTTCGTGACTATTGCAGGGTTTGAATTTCCTTTAACTCTCATTCTTGTCTTGCCTCAATTATCTTAATATGATTGCTTGAAAAAATGAGTTTAGGGAATTCTTGTTTATATTTTATAAATTTGATTTCTAATTCAATCTTTCCAACTTGGAAATAGGAAGGGTCTTAAAATAACTATTCATAATTTATTTTAGTTGTCTGTAATTTAAACTTAATTTTTAATATATCTACATTATTAGCTCTTCCATCCATAGCATTATTTCTCACTGGATTATGATAGTAAAGATTTTTAGGGTTTTTTTGGTTTTTGCTTTTGGCAAAAGAAGAAAAGCCTAAATATTTTCAGACTTTATTTCTAGCTAAAAATTCTGCACCTATATTACAGGACAGATAAATTACCTTGATTTATGGTACAGAGAAAAGAAAATCATGAATATTTATGTACCTGCTTTTCTTTTAACTTTTTATATCACACAACCTATCTGAATCCATACTAATCTTAAATAACTCAAAAATTCTTTTTCAACTTAAATGAATAAGTCAATCACACAGAGTAAACATTATATTACCTCACTTGCATGTGCTATCTAAGGCAAAATAATTCATAGAGATACAAGTTAGAACAGTAATTTCTAGAGCCTGAGGAAGGAATAAGTAAATGAATGAATTGTCTTTTAGCCCTGAAAGATGATATACTATGATATTTCAGTGTTAGCTCAGTAGTAACAAATATCTTAGCATAAATTTTCAATCCAAATGAAAGTAAACCAAAGATATGTGCAAACTACTAAGCATAAACATGGAAGGCATGTATTTGTCTCTGTGAACGTTTTCTGTTTATCATAGCAATAAATGCTTTATAAGTCACTGAAATAATCTATTTAAATGGATTCATGAATGTATTCATGACAGAATCAAATTGTATCCTTAACATATTTTCCAATATCCTTTACTAAGAAACTTTATTATTTTAGGAGGAATTGTTGATAAGGATCTTCGTCACTACCTCAACTTACGATTTCAGAAGGGTTCTGTTGACCACGAACTTCAGCAGATCATCCGAGACAACCTCTACCTCCGCACAGTGCCATGTGAGTACCATGGCTAAACTTGCTTTTCTTCTATGGTAGGAGAGAGATGTTCAGCTACATACTCGAAAGAAAAGTTCAATCATATGGGTTTTCTATGGTTGACATTTGGAACTGGAATTAGATTTGAGATATGGAATTATAAATGCAAACACTTATAGTTGTGTGGTTTATCATACAGTCATAGAGAGATTTGGGAATTTTCAAGCTACAAAATCAAACAGACACTCCTCCAGTTATTACCAAGAATATTGATTCTAGTCCAGACTTCTAGAGATTCATGAATCATGATTAAGGCAAAAACACCACACCAGGAAACAAAAGAATACAAATTAATTAGTTGAAATAGTTATTTTACAAATGGAATCTGCGTAGATTTTGCCACAGGGAATCTCACAAGTATAAAGAAAACTCTACATTGAAAAGTAAATGCAGTATTCCATAACATTTGGGAAGTCGTGATGGTACACACTAGGACAAATTTTTATAGCCAACTGATAGAAATGCCTTTAAAAGAGAGGAATTGGAACCATGAAAAAATTTAAAAAATCAATCTATTCCTGCTTTTTTTTTTGACAATCTCCTATTAACTTTAGGAAAAAGAATCTTCAACTCAAGTCCTTGATCCTGTATGGATAGTAAAATATACTTTCTACAAAGAGGTATTTTGACCTTCCAAAGACTATTGACTCTCTTCAGAAATTCTAATATGTAGAAATTGTGTGTATTGTTTTTTTAAGTTCTATCCTACACTTTTTCTCAAAGCTATGGGCTTTGGAAGCTTAAAATGTTTGAAAACTTGATTAGAATAAATTAAACAAATAAGCAAGACAACAAATGATCTATAGGCCTGGACCACCAGTATTATGATAGTGATACAGAGGAATGATTATATTAAAAACACACAAAGATGTGAAGGCAGAGAGGAAATCATCCAGCCTTTTCATCCACACCCATTTTAAAATGGGTGGGCTCTTACTGTTGTTAGCACTGAAGATTCAGCAAAACAAAATCTCAGAGCAAATCTATCATCCATTCCTAAATGAAATCATTTGCTAATTGACATCTTGTTGACCAAAACATTTCCTGTTTAATGTGTATTTGTAAGTGTTCAGACTGAACTCTTGCTTTGAAATTGAATGTTGGAAAGAGTGTGTTCTTAAACTTATGAGTTTGACATAAGAGTGATGAGCAGAGATGGATTAAAGTAAGTGACTCAACTGTTTATAAGGTGGACAAAGTTTCAAAGCCATGATGTCTGTGCAGCTGTGTGAATTTATCTTTTGTGACATGAAAGAAAGGAGACCTACAATACTAAATAAAGAATCCAGGCACTTTATTATGTTTAAAAGCTGAAGGAAATAGATAAGAGGCTAACATTCAGGGGATACTTGTAGTCCTTGCTAAGAAGATGACATAAATAAGAAAGTCTTAATTAAATGTGATAATAATGTGGGAAATTTTGCATTAGCTAATTAACTTTTTAAAGCATCTTTCTTTAGAGTACCAAAGAAAGACTATGAGGGAAAAATAACTATAAGAATAAAATAACTAGCATTATATGAGTAAACATAAAGAGTTTCAAGATGTGATTCTGGTTCAAGGTCATAAATTCAATTAGAAATCCTTGAATAACTCCTGGAAAGGAGATAATTAGAAAGTCAATGAATCTGAATATTAAGATGAAATAATTATTCTTTGATTTTGCAGCCACCACTCCTAATGGCTAATTTCAATGATACCATTCACTGACCGTGCTTTTAACAGCATAAAAGTGAAAAAAGTATCTGAGATAAAGATGATGCCGATTTATACTGTTAAAAAGTGCTTTTGTATTGGACCTGGAAAATCTTCCACCTTCACTCATTAATTTTTCAATGAAGCATTTAGAATTCTTCAGTGAGTATGCAATTAAAATGTACCAATAATGTGAAAAACCATACCATTGCTTAGAAACTTACATGAGTATCCAGTCCATCTATTGGCATTGAGTAGAGGATCACATTTCTTTTGCTTTCTCCTGGGTCAATGTGCTCTCGTTATTTGAATGAACCCAGAACAATAAAATAAATTGCATTTCCAAAGATGATATTACTCCTGTACATACACATATTAATGTGAGCATACTTGCCTCTCAATTAATCTAGCAATGCACCTTAATAATAGGTCCTCGATAACTGTATTGGAACAAAAGTGCAATCAATTTATAATCCTATGAGGGTGGGTTAGAAGGTTTCTTCACAAAGAGAGACCTAACTCAGTAATTCTGCTTCCACCATGGAATTAACTCCACCATCAGTTACAACTAGAAAGAAAGGATTAAAGTTCTTCCTAGTGCCTAGGTATGTAAGAGTTATAGAGTCAGGGGTCCAAATGTGCTCCATCTCACATACATGTACTTAGTCAAACACAATTGTAAACAAGGTGACTTCTGTATATACCTCTTAAGGAAGCCTGTGCTTGGCAGCTGGATGTTTTCTGAGCTAATCAAGGGAAGAGTTAAATCTGAGTCTCCACTTAGGCTTTAACTACAAATAATACAAAATCCCACTAATCAGTTCTCATAATTAAAGGTTGATTATATTTTGCCTTTTAATTTTATTTTCCAGAACCTTACCTCAGAAAGTAATTCTTCAAACAATTGTTTTTAAAAACTGTATATCTAGACATTGAAGAAAGATCCAGTCATGGAGACAAGATTATTGTAAGGTTGAACATATACATGTGTATGTTAATTCATTATTCTTTCAAGTCAGATCACAGAGGAAAGATCCTTGTTTGGTGACTTGGTGTTTTCTATGGAACCTCAGGGAATCTCATCATTCTTATCCACTGAATACCCAAACCTGCTCCTAATTATATGAATTTTAGATACTAATTGTACAACTCACAAAAGGGGAGTGAAGGTTCCCAAAACACTTGATTACTGAAAAGTGAAAGTTAATTGTTTTTAGATTGACTATAAACAAACCTTTCAAATATTAGATTTCAGGCTGTGTAAGATTTTATGTAACTGAACTTCAGGAGAAATGAGTAAGTGATGATGACACAACCTGTTGTAGAATGTGATGAAGAGGAACCAGGAGCACTCACACAGATAAGGGATTTAAAGGAATTCAGAACATCCAACGCATGGAATTGCAATTACCTAGGTGTATATAAAATGCAACTTGAGAAGAATAGCTACCAGCATTTATTTAGAGATTAGATAGGAATTCTTCATCACAGCATGTTAAAAGTAAAAAGTAAAGGCAAAATTCATTATCCTTCATGCAGTGTAGATACAAAAGTATATAGGGATGTTAGTGAATTAGATTATGAAAATTATTGAATTAATCTCCAAATATTTAAAGAAAAAAATAGAGTTTATTTTGGCTCTAATATTCTACTGAGCATAATGGTGTGTTTATTTAACTCGAGACTGATCGACCACAGTTTATTGCAATTTATTAATAGTTCTGGACCTTTCTCCCTTTGGTATTTATTAGAGGAACAAATTAATTTTTGAGGCAGATAAGAGCACAGACATATTTCACCTCCTTTTCCCTGCCATACTGGAAGACATGAAGAGGGACTTTCAGGACCAATTTTTAAAGCTTCAAAATAAAATGGAAGATATTTGAAACTATACCTCACTCTTAAGATAATACTTTGTCATTTGGTGAGATAGTTTTAATGGAAAATACTTTAAATCTCTTTGAAGAAGAAATATTAGTGTATGTCAAGTAAAATACAAAAACTAATAAAATTAAAGTCAATACTATTCCATAAAAACTGAATAAAATTAAAAATATAGATTTAAGAAATTACTGTGCGGCATAACTCACAATAATATTTCTACATATTTAAGTGGCTTAAGTTTATAAAACTAAACCATGTTGAAAAGAATTGTCAAGGTTAAAATTGTAAGACTTCCAACGTATGGTTACCATTTTGTTTCTGTGACAAATTGTCTTTCACAGAGGAGCTAGAAATGTGCATCTTAAACGTTACTGAGTTCTAGCTAAACAAACAAACATAGGAGTAGAAAGAGTCAATGCAATTAAAATTTAAGTCAGTGATATTGCATCTATTCCAACATTATTCTTATTGCCTTAAATAAGAATCATCAATTTAGAAATTTTTCTGAAGTTGCCTTGAGAGTGTGACTCATATTCTTTCACAATTATTTCAGAATTAACTTTCTAGCTTTTTGTTCTTTGAAAATGAATTTGATTTCTTAAAAGTAGACTAATTGTATTTGGCATACGTATTGAAAAATGAGAATTATTAGAGAATAAATATGGCCATTAGCATTTAGGGCCCAAAGGGAAGGAAATCTATAAACAAATGCAACTAAATTTCTTTGAGAAATTTATACACTGTCCCCAAAGTCCTAATCATAAGGAAAAACTCAAAAGCATCTGAGCAATGGCAGATAATTCTCTGTTTTTTTAATTATCATTATTATTCTTTTCATTCATTGATATATGTACCTGTCTGGTGTGCTTATTAACCATATGTTACAATTTTATAGAAAGCTGTATTAGCTTCAACCTCTCTTCTAACTAAGAAAATAAAGATCTAGTCATACATCATATACATGAAAGTATATTTGTATGACTTTTCCTGCAGACATGTGAACAATTCAAAAAGAGATCTTTTCACTCCAGAGAGGAATTGACAAGCAGGCCAAAGACACGATTTAACCTCCTCTGTCTTAGTAAGCTGGTGAGTTTTGGGGGGTTACCTACAGGAGTAAGGGGTTACTTAAAAGAGCAGAGATGATTCAAAGGCAGCTGCATCACTGAAAAACCCATTGCAGTTAAATGACTCACTAACTCATCAGTAGAGCAGCTTGCTTAACTTCTAGGCAGCTACTCAACCAGAAAATCTCCTCTTCCTAGCAATTTCCGTAGCTTATATAACTATGGGGGGGGTGGCCTTGGGAATCTTGCAGGTTTCAGGAGCTTCCTCAGCCTTGTAAGTTTCATTTACTCTCTGAGTCTGATGATCCTCCCTCC